AATCTGGGCACCACTGTTTTCATTATTTCTGTACCTCACTGTTTTTTTTTCAAAGATAATATCATGTCGAATAAAGAAACCAATCTGCCTATTTAAAAATCCAACGCCCAAACATGGACTGAACAAAATAATTAATTTTTTTCAATGATTAATTGTATATACAGTTCATGACCCAAGTGTTAATCTCCAAAAACCAATTGTTATCACAAAAATTCTAAAGCTACCCCATTTTCTACCCCATTTTGTACCCCCTCCCTAGTTTTGTGGTTCACAAAAGTAATGCATTTAAGTGTGGAAATTATATTTTGGGGTTGGAGTTTTATGAGCCATTCAAAGAGTGAGGTATAAATGGGGTACCCCATTTTGGGGTACCTCTAACATTTCTCAATAAATAAATTTATTCCAATACATTATTTAAAATGTAGTTTAGCACCTATAATCTGCATCTTAGATTCTCTAACCTATCTATTAAAATCGGAGGAAATAAGTAGATGGCTTTGTGAGTTTTGCTTGACATTAGGCAGAAAAGCTCTAATTCAGACTGTTAAAATCAGAATAAAAAAATATTTTAAATAACTACATTTAAACCATTGAGAATAAAATAGATAAGTAGTGCCCTAAGACTGCATAAATATTTTTCACTTTTATTCTGGGCCAAAAACTTATTTCTTTGACAAACATCACAACTATAAACACTTGCACGAATGCCTGTCATCATTCTCGTTTGAAACTTTAGAATCAAATAATTATTACTCGTACATTTTTTTGAACTGTTGTAGTATAATTACTCATGACCATCATAAGAACTGCCATGGTAAAACAAATTGCCTTGGACATGCCAGCCAATCAGGGGGTGGTGTGTGGTGAGTTATATTGTGTATCCATCATACGTAGTATTGAACTAATTACACCATGCATGAAAAATTTGTAGTTATAGGATACATATGTAGTCTGCCAAAATCTGTGCACACATTTCTGTATTTAAAAAACAATGGAATTAAAAGAACTGCCCAAATGATACAAACTGCCATGGATATGCCAGCCAATCAGGGGGTGATATATGCTATATTATGTTATAAATACGGTTTTTCCTTTCACATTTTTTACTAACAAAGATTCACTTTTAATCATTTTCATTCCTTACACATTGTGTTACAACTTACAAAGGTTGGAATTATTGTTCATTCCTGGTGTTGACTTAAACTCGGAAATGCAGGGGCCAGCCTAACGATCTTGATATCGCGACTTTGAGGAATCCCTCTGCGCGGGGTTTTTATTTTTTTTAATTTTGTTTTTAAATGGGTCTGTAAATCTATTAAATAGATTTAGGATAGATGTAGGGCAACACACCTGCCTCCAAAGAGATAAAAGGTACGCCACTCTATGCACATCCTCCATATGAATTTGGTTATATAACATTGCCTTTATATGTGCTGCATTACACTTCCGCCACAAAATCAATTTTCCAAATACTATTTAAAATATTCATGAAACCCTCAAAAAAATAATGGAACAATATTTTTCAACATATTCAGAGGGTTTTAAAAAAAATTTAACGATTAAGCAAAGTGAATATACCTATATTTAACACGTAAGGCGTTGCTTCCATAGGTTTTCCAATCGGTTATATCTCTGCCAAACACCCGAGGACCATAATCAATTGCCATTACATGCCTACATTTTTTATACACACATAAGTAAGTTGATAGAATTCCATCACCTAAGAGTCCATAGGTATATCTTAGCATGATATCTTATATAGATGCGTCTCTAGTAGTACAGATGATTGGCAATCTCTTATGCCTGAGTTCTTAGTCAGTCTAAAACCATATCAAACAGCCAAACATTTGGCAAAACCAAGCCCTGAAGGGTCAGAAAATAGGTAGCCAAAGTTGCCCTTATTGTACATACTAACATACATAATCTTCAAACATAGATCCAACACAGTCACACGTAACATAGTGACACATAACATAGTCAACGTCTATAGTAAACATATAGCGACACATAATATTTATTCCTTCTTCACCCCCTTCAGCTTTTTCCCAGATATTGAAGTTGAGAAGTCTCCAAATAGGTCACGTTTCAGTTTGTGTGTGTCAACATTCAAAACACTCCTTTTCTCCTTGGTCAGCAGTGGGCTGGACACAGATTGTTGTGATGAGCCAGCCTGAAAATTTAAAAAATGTCGAGTTTCAGAGTAACAACAAAACATGTCAGGCTTTAACGAAATATTTGGAGTAAGTACCACGGTTTCAGGCTCGAAAAACTCTCTAGCCAGTCGAGTGAACTCGTCTTCCTCCTGTCAGTATAACTTGTTAAAAATCTAGGGGAGAACGTGTCTACAGAATTTAAAAAAAAAATTTATACCTCAACGGCATTTATCTTAGATGAGTAAAGTGCCAGCACTTTGGGCTTGGTGTTCATCTTTACAACGCTGAAAGTCTGATTTCTTTTGAAACTCCTTCTTTCTCTTTTGAATTGCACCTTAAACAAAGCCTTTATATCAATGAGCGAGTTTATCTCAGATGGGAAGTAATGTGGTCCGAAGTTCCTCTGCAAGGATTTATAACTTAGTTCACAATGTAAGACAAACTAAGAGAAATATGACTTAGGATGCAAACAAATCCTAGATATTTGTTCCTTAAGGGATGCGGCAGACTTTCCCAGCAAGCATGACACCTCCCTATCCCAGAGCAAGAAGGAGGCATGCGTTGTGCCATCAACTACCCGCACGTTCACCTTAAACATGAATCCATAAAAAAAAGTTTTTTTTAGTAGTTGTAGTTGTAGATCTTAAAACCAAGATTAATGTGCAGATTACAACCCTAAAAACAACATCATTTGAACTGCAAGAGACACACCAAAAGCTATCCCCGTTAAGGGAAACCTTACGGTTACAACCAATGCAAGAAATGTAGGACCATTCTTTGAAGCTGTCGATAGCCACAATTTCCCCGTAAACCCAGTGCTTCCCCATAGAATGTAGGACCATTCTATGATGCATAAATATAAGTCAAATTTTATTTTAACATATTTCAACATAAAATTGAAATGCACTTGCCTCCTGAAGTTTCGTAAGATCCTCAATAGTGATCAAATCCCGCTGGCCAGTTCCAATGTCTCCATCGTCCGAGTTGTCAGTTGTTATTGAAAATCGAAGTCCCTTACTGGACCTTTCAACCATCCTGATTTTTTAGTAAAGGTTAAGGAAGACTGTTTTGTTCACCTTGGTATCATTAAAGATAAATTTTAAGACTATATACCTTGACTTGAATTCCACAAATTCTTCACCACTCCCATTTAGAATGACCTTGGTGGTGTTAAACATGTTGGAAACATGAACATGACCTAATTCAAGTTTCATCTTTTGTTAGATATTATTGGATAAAGTAACCTAAGGGTAAGGGGTGTTAAGATAACCTTGATACTTCCTAGCTCTGCAACACTGCAGTAGCATCACAATTGGATCCAACGTCGTCTGCTTGTACGTCATGAGCATCTCAATCATTGGTCCCCATAGAGTACAGGTTATCACATTCCCTCTACTTAAAACGTTTAGTTTATTTCAATTTTAAGTCTACTATAATAAACACTCTCCTAAAGCGTTTAATGACAGATCAAGAACTCACTCTCGGTCTCCCATAACCAACTCCATCAATTTTCTGGGCCTCTCATTCTTCGAAATTGTTTTTGGGTCTTTGTCGTGCACTACTTGGCCCATTATGTCTGGATAATAGAACTATATTAGTGGGTCTAAAGAGGTTATAATAAGTTTTATATATCAAGATAGGTCAATATAAATCACACCAATTCCAAATTTCTCATCAATGGTGTCTTGGGATTGCAATGAAGCAAAAGACACCAGTGAGTAAATTCTTATGGGGAATGGAACCCCCTTGATCTAAAATGCAGCACTTTTGTTAAAAAAACGAAGACTATAGGCACTTGTTGAGGTTTTAAAGAACATGTAGTTCTCTTCCACCATGAAATTTTTCACTGCAAACAAATGTCCGTCCTTGAAGGTGCCAATGAACTTATTGATGAACTCGTCTCGAATATGCGCATGCATCTTGGACCCTTGAAATTTACCGAAATGTCAACATAGATCGTGCTAAAATGCAAAAGAATGTGAACATGAGATTGAATAATATATGTCCAAACCTCTTCGTCATGGAAAACAACCTCCAACGATTATGGGAAGCAGTCATGTGCTGGTTCTCGATACACTCTTATAGCCCTAGCCTTAATTGCCCATGTGGTTCTGCTCTGATCAATCTCACGAAACAACGACCACACCCCAACCATCTTTAAGAATGAATGCTTGTATTTCTATAGTTAATTGCTAGCTATGAGCTGTGAAGGTTAGAACACTAATGTTGGTCTATTTATAGCTGGACACCCAAGTGGCCAACACCACATATTCAACCAATAATTTTTGGAAATGGAATGAGTGGAAAACTGTTTAACAAATTTTGAATTTCAAACTAGTTTCTCTCGAAGAGTTCCCCCTTGCCCAGTAAGATATTGTTTATATCTTTAAAGCAGCCAATGAAAATGAAGGCACGTGAGTGGGAAATCCTGGGAAAATCCAAAACAACTATCTGCCAGCCCACCACCCCAAACCGGCCAATGAAAAACAAATTTTCAAACACAGGAAAATCTATAACAAATCAAAACAGTAGCTAAACTCCCTAGAACCACATATCTAACGTCTTGCATTGGCCGGAGAGCACTAATTAAGGAAATATGAAACGTTAACACCTAATAGAGCTCTAATTTAATTGGAAATTACCCTTAACTGCTGAAAGTGACATTTTTGAGCGGGAAGAACTGGCCCACTTTTATTTTGCTTTTAGATATTAATAGATTGCCCTCGCTATATAACGTATACTTCCTCCGTCCCTTAAAACTTTGCAAACTTTCCATTTTGGGATGTCCCAAAAAACTTTAAACTCTCTCTTTTAATCGATTATTTAGGAATTATTTAGGCAAATTTTAAGGGAATGAGGGAGTATTTATCTCAAACCCTCCTTTTCACTTCTCTTCGTTGACTCCGAGTATCCGGATAATCCTTTAGTTTTGAGGTACGACCAGTTTAATGGCGACGCATGGTCACGCTGGAAGCGGCAGGTCGAACGTCCGGCAAGAGAAGCTTGACAAAGAGTGTGAGCTCAGGATAGAAGTCAGCGCCGACACACCTCTCCGGCTTCGTGTCCTTAAGGGCACTGCTGAAATCTTCGGCACCGAACTGCCGCCTGAAATTTGGATCACCTTCCCGCCTCGCCTTAAATTCGCCGTATGCATTCTTTTTTTGCTCTTCCTCCCTATTTTATAAGGAGTATTATGCTATTCAATTCAATCTTTTATTACAATAAGGTATTAAGGTGGCATGTACTTCTCAGAGTTCAACTCAATCTCTTTTTCTTTATCAATAAGTCATTCTTTTGGGTCTTCCTCTTCACTCTGTGACTGTCCACAGTCTTTTCATATGAGGTTTCTCTCTTTTTCGAGTCTTGAAAAGTTATTTTTTTCCCCTTTCTTATTGGAATTATCTTAACCGGTTACTCTATTACCTCTTGAGTTAATACAATATTATTCTGTTTCTGCATATGTATTCTGCTCATGAGTTAAATATTATTCTGTTTCTGCATATGTATTCTGCTCATGAGTTAATACTATGTCTTTTGCTAATATTTAAATTATTCATTCTTTCTATTGCGACTAACTTTGGTGTTTACTGTGTTTGTTTAATGACTTGCAGTGTTTCTAGTGTAGTATCAGTATTTTTAAGTAGAAGGTATCATGTAGAAGCAAAGTAAGTACTACAAATATAGTAAGTGTCTGAGTTCCAAGAGGCGCGGCCTCGGCTAAAAATGAACAAAATCGCCTCATACCGTCTCATACCTTTTAAAACTAAGCTCCCTACCCTAACCTTCTACTCCAACACATCCCTACAACCCCCCACCCACAACCCTAACTTCCTGTGCTGATGGCGGCATTAAACTACCATGCCACCACTGCCTTAGCCACAAACCACCATTGCCACACCATTGTCCAAAACCTGCCCCTACCTAGGAAGAAATCCTAGCCGTCGCAACCTACGACCACCCTAGTGAGAAACCTTAGATGTACTGGATTTGGATCCAAAAACGATGATGAAAACACCGTCATTGCCGATTATCCTCTCCAGGTCGTCGAATGCCCTCGTCATAGCCATCACAGATTGGCACAAGAATGAGAAGAAAAAAGATGGTATAAGACGGGATGACAACGATGAGAACACGGTGGCGGCTTGGAGACGTCGACAGCACACCAATGGCGAGAGAAGACGAGTGGAAAAGAGAGGAGAATAGACAATAAATTAGGTAAAATTTGGACGTCTAGGGGCATTTTGGACATTTCATTAATACTCCCTCCATCCTGCAAGATTGTGCCATCTTTAATTTTCGGTTTGTACCATTAAGATTGTCTCACACTAAATTTGGTAAATTTTGTGCAGTTCTAAATCATTCTTACTTTATTCATACGTTATCAATTCATTATCAACCACGTAAATCCACTTTTTTAATAACCGCACCACCTCCTCATGTCCCAATGTTGGTGGGACAGAAGTAGTATTTGGTATCGACCAAATTCAAATTTAGTCCTATTTCTACCCATCTAAAAGCTTGTCGTAATATTTTCCCCATTTTTTCTATTTGTTGAGAAAAATTAAGTAATAACTAATAAGATTATTTAAATAAAATTGTTCCTAAAAATTATTAGTATGAATAATACTCCCTCCGTACCTTATAACATGCCATCTTTCCTTTTTGGGTTGTCTAAAAAACTTTTCCACATTCCCTTTTAATTAACGAATGTGTGGTTCCTATTATTTCTTTTTCCTCTGCACAAACCTTGACTACACAATTTTTACTTTATTATTTTTCATGCTTTGGCAAAATTTTGATGGAGAGATGGAGTATTATTATGAGAAACAACAGAAGTCTTTCCTAGCTCATCTAGGGTTTGTAGGGTGCCACCGAAGGAGTTTTCCAGGTGCGGCGGTTAACACAAGGGGCATCTGCGGTGTTTAGACGAAAGCTTCGTCTTGTTTGGTGGATTTTGGCTTGGGACAACACCATGAAGTAAAACAGCGAGTGGATGGACAACAAAGGCATGGCAGGGCAACACAGCTTGATCGAAGGGTATGAACGATTGGCTATTGCTGCGGATGGCTATTCATGGGCTATAGATGTGAATTTATTAACCCTAGGGCTGAATGACGAGATAAACAATGAAGATTAAGTTTTGATGGCTACGGTTTGGTAGATGGCTGCGATTTCTTGTCCTATTTTTGTCCTAAGCTTTTTTTTCTTTCTTAATATTTTTTACTTTGGTTTTGTTTTGATTGTGTTAGTGGCGTTCTTGAGATGTTTAAGGTTGTTATGAGAGACAAGTCTCTCCTCTTGATCTTCATAGGCTATTTGTCCGTTCAGTGGTTAGTGAATTGTGGTTAGTGAATTGCTGCTCGAATTCTCGCGGGAGTAATTCTATGTCTAATCCTAGGGCTGCTCACCAAGTCAGGGGTGTTTGTCCGATGGATTGTTTGTCTGTTGTTGAGATATCATGGCTTTGTTTTTAAAAAACTAATATTATTATTGTTACAACTAAGTAACATAATTAGATAGTTATGAGAAAGTTATAAATCAGATGTCAATGTTCGAAATTGTGTATTGCATATTTGAGATGTTTTTAATGATTGCGTATTGCGTAAACCTTATTGCGCAATGAGGCGTAACTCTTATATATACATAAACATCTATGTGTGTGTATATTTTTTTGAAAGGTATATATATGTGTATATAGTTAGAAGTAATAGGAAATAAATATTCATCCAAAACAACAAATTTCATAATCAATCAAAAGTGAAAGAAATCGTGACTTCAAACATAAGAAGATATAAAATTTTATTCTGAAATTATAAGTTTATATTGATGTCATATCTCATATTATACACATATTAACATGGGGGAAATAGTACTGCATCTAATTATCACCCAACCTAGAATATATCTTTTTACATGCGCATAAATGTATAAAAACTAACAGTACCATGCGAGGCTTACCCAACAATAAATTAATAGTACCAAATATAATATCATTGTAAAAATTTAAAAATGAGCATACCATGAACTAAGAGAGGCGGAGAAGAGGAGAAATAATAGAAGCCGAGAAGGGCAGAAATAAGAGGAGAAGTGACAGAAAACAAAAACTTGCAAAGTTGCAGACGACCAGGTGCGAAGTGCGAACAGTAGGAGGAGAGACTAACTGGCGATGAAGAGATGACAGAGCCGATTATGTGCTCGAACAACAGATTTTTACTTGATGTTTCCAGAAGACAAAGTTGTTAGCATCAAGCTTGAGTGGAAGCGGATGCATAAACATCACTAGAGATGTAGAGTTTACAGGATTCCGGTAGCAGAAGAAGAGTTTGATGTGTTGTTTGAGATCGCCATTGTTGGACGGAGCTGGAGCTCTGATATCATATTAGAAATGGAGAGAGAGAGAGAGTATTGAATGAAGTAAACACAATGATCTCATTAGCTAGCTGAATTAGGAATACAAGGTATTTATAGAGTTGGTTAAGTCAACAGACTAACCGAAGCTCTAACTAACTATAGACTATTACAAAGTATATAGATAACACTATTTTATACTTGAAAACAATTTTTGTCAAAATAGACATTATTATATTACATTTTGACCTTTTTTTGCAATATACGTTATTTAACTAAAATTTGCCCCCCCCCCCCCCCCCCCCCCCCCCCCCCCCCGATTTCAAAGCTAGATCCGCCCTTGACCATACATCTTCCTCCAATGCAAAACTTTGTCGGAGATCCCCCTTGAGCCTCCACCACTTTATCTTTGATTCCACTTGTGCTTAACCTGCCTTCTCCTCTTACCTTGAAAATCAAGCACAAAGCATCCTATGCTGAGTGACAAAATTGTTGAGTGATGGATGCATCCCATTACTCATTATAACATCAAATATTAAAAATAATGCATCTATAACATTTGAGTTATCATCAATGCCCTCATTATATTACATCCCATCAAAAATATTTCTCAAAATATACTCGAATTACTTTACTTATTTATTGTCTAAATAACTCCGTCATTCTGCAATGGAAACTTTAAGTCGGGACGGAGGTAGTAATTAAGAAGCTGCCTAAAGCATACATATTAATAGTAATAATAATATGAGGTTTCATTGCTCATATCATTACTCCCCTCTTGGACATCAAGCTCGTCCTCAAGTTTGAAAGGAAGTAACCTGTAGTGTCCGTCTTTTCCACAATCAAATGGTATGATTAGAAAAACATTTATCACATTGTCGCAGATGCACTTTTTTGTAGTTTGTGCATAACCAGTGCGACTACATACAGAAACTGGACACTTCCATGTGAATCTTGTCATTAGGTTGGCCTCTTGACTGAAGAAATTTGAAAATGGAGTGTGGAAGTTGAGTTGTTGATCGATGTGCATAAGTCCTTCAAAAATACCTCGCTGATGCAAGAAGCGGACACCAAATCCTTCCATTATGGATCCGGTACTTTTCCCGAAGAGATTAGAACCCAAGTGTAGCATTCTATGTTCCAAGTTCCAACACTAGACCCGAGGGAAATTGTCCATGCAATGTTGTTGCTAAAATAAATATCCGTTCTTGTGGACTTCTGAACGGGCTTACAACCTCATATGCAGGTACATCTGGTGTACAAAGCTGTCCAGAAAAGAGAAGTAAGAGAATTTATCTGCATCTTTAGCTTTTGTGGAGGTGCCACCAAAGTTGGAGGCAAGGGAGTTGGTGGAGGCTATTTTTGACGTAGCTGACTCCAAGGGAACTATTTGAAGTGGCTGTGGAAGGTTTGGCGATGATAAATGTGGAGTCGGGTTTTCTTTTGTGGGTAGTACAACGGGTTAGTACAACGGGTTGTGAAGTTGTTGGGTGTGGGTTTGATGATGAATGTGATAGTAGGGATGCGCACCGTATTTTCATTGTGCAACCTTCTTCATAAATATTCTTCCCTTGAAGTTCTAAGAGGGCAGCTATGGTGTCCACGAGGGAATTGAAATATATTGCAGCTTGGAGTTCAAAATGATTCGATTTCAAAATCTCAATATGTTGCACCTATCTTTCACCGAAAGCACATAATAAATCGTACTCATCATCATCATCATCACCCGAGTGCCTCAAAGGCTCCCACTTACGGTGGGGTAAGGGAGGGTCGGATGTACACAGTCTTACCCTTGTACACCCTTGTACTTAAGTACAAAAAGTCTGTTTCCGGATGATCCATAGTGAAAATCGCATCGAAAATTACATGGACGGTCGAAAATTACATGGACTGACCGCTGCTTCATAACAAAGAAGCGCAGACAGTTTAGTGAGTCATTTTGCTTTATTCCATCATATTCCCAAGCAAAAAATAGCGAGTCTCTGGCTCCATTGGAAATGATGGAAACATAATAAATCATACTCATCAACAAAATAATTGAGGGATGGTGACATGCATGCAGAGCCTAGTTACGCATTTTTTGAGCCCTTTTAAAAGAATAAATTGGAATAAGGATAATTATAATTGGGTTGAGCAATGGCTTCAAGACTACTAGGGGCAATGAACTAGGGATTCCTGGAGCAAGAGATGCGCACATGCTTTTTATTTTGTTTTGAGCTGCTCCCAAGGTTTAAAAAGGCAGGTTCGGGTATCGAGGCGGTTTGTTCCTAAGAGGCGAGGCGTAACCCTCAAAATATATAGACATATAAAACTTAAAATAGTTAAACTAGTAACAAAAAACTAAAGAAGTAAAGGATATATCCATAATTATAAGTCCAAAAAGTGTGAAACATAAACAGTTAAACACGTATGAGCTAATACCAGTAAGTCATTAGAATTCAAACACACATACAGAAACATGAAACATCACACACATAAACATCTCACACAAATTGAAAGATGAATAGAAAGTATACGTTAAGGACTTAGGGTTTAAATGAATAAAAGGCTTGTTAGGGTTTAAATGAAATAGGACTTGTTAGGGTTTAGTGTGGCCACATGTTTAACTAATGGACTTCTATTTAAAAAGTATCCTGGGCCTTTTATTAAATGAAATGCCTTTGGCAATTTTTAAGTTACTGCACATTAAAAATGGAGAAACAAATGAAAAACGCCTCAGGGGCACGCCTCAACTTTTGAGGCGTTAGCCTCTTAACCTGCGAAAGAAAGACTCAGTAAACAGACTCAGTAAACAGAAATTGATGATGGCCCGAGGAGCGTCTTTTCTATAGTGGTCTGCTGCAAATTAGTTGGGAAGCAGCGCATCAAAGATGCTGAAAGAAGTACAATTATTTTTTGGATTTCTAGAAAACAAAACAAAACAAAACAAAAGGAGTTGGAGTAAGACAAACTATGCAGAAACGTAATGTACCAAATTGTTATGGGCGTGGTTGTGATCTCGTTTCGGATTTGGGAAATAGAGAATATGAGAGAGGAATAATAAAATAAGTTGCAAACCCACCGGGTCAAGAATTAATCGGTGCCCGACCTTGTCAAGACATACAAGAATTAATTCTTCTCACTGTTTATTGAATAATACTGATGACCCTTATATTGCTATTACAAGAGTTCTAATTATACAAGGAAATAAAGGCTACTTAAGAAGTTGCTTAAAGCAGAACATGAATACTTTCAAAATTAGATAAATGCTAATTAAGAAGCTGCCTAAAGCATGCATAAGAATAATAATAGTAATAATAATATAAGGTTTCCTTGGTCATATCAGAATGACCCTGTGGGTTTGCAAATCTGGTTGTGGTTAGCTATAATAAGGATCCTAAGATTAGACTATAAATTTTGATGATACAGAAATATGATTTTGGCTGATATAGCAGAGTTAAGAGCGACTATCCATCCATGATGCTACACAGTATACATGGCTTAATGCAAAGACCTATTTTAGAGTTCAATTTAAAAAAAGATTTAATATTCAAATGGATAAAGTTGTGGGGTTTCGGTAAAATGCATTGAAGCATACAATGTATTGCATATGAGCTAATCTACTATGTTGCATTGTATAAAATCTATACTGTTTTTAAGGATGTTTTTACTTGGACCGTAATTCCTCCGAGATCAGACCAGACTAGTTCAGACCAGACCAGACTTGGATAGTTATAAAAATACAAAGAAACCAGACCAGACCAGCAAATTACGGTCCAAGTAAAAACATCCTAACACATCAAAATATTAAACAGGTATTTACTTGGTATGGGGCCACAATTGAGATGGATGGGCCAACTGAAAACGAGTATACAGCTGATGAGGTATAGTATCCCTCATTCCTTTTTATATTTGCTGTGTCTATGCATGTTGACATTTTAATATAATCACCTTGGTTCAACTAGATTTCGCAGTTGAAGTGATACTAGCTTCTTAAATATATTATCAGACTCCTATGATCAGTTATGTAAATGTACATGCTGTACTTGATGCTCGGCGGGAACGTGCAAAAGCTTCACCAAGTGACTCTGGTACTTACCAGGTATTGTTTGTATTGTGTATTTATATTATAGAGGAACAATGTCAAATTTATTGTGTAATTGTCTGGAATTAGCACTTTTTATTCCTTTAAACTTTGTTGCTTGTGCAGACTACTTTCATTTGTGTTTCCTCTATTTTTTGTATTGTTTTTTGCATGTAATGTGTTATTTAAGTATTCATTGTAAATCTATGTAGCAGCTTAAGCATATACAAACAACATCCAAGCCTAAATCCCAAAAAAAATTGGGGTTACCTAAATTGAATCAATGCATAATATCAAATCCCTAAAAGAAAAGAAAGATAAAGAAAGATAAAAAGATCAGCTATAATAGAAAAGATAAAAAAGATAAGATAAAGATAAGTACTCCCTCCGTTCCTATTATAACTTCCAACTTTCCTTTTTCGTCCGTTCCAATTAAAACTTCCATTTTCCCTTTTTGGTAAAGAATTTGTGGTTCACAACATTTCTTACACATTTCTCTCTCCTCTGCACAACTCTCTACCACACAATACCCACTATCTTAAATTGTGTACCAAACCTATTTGGAACTTATAATAGGAACGGAGGTAGTATAAGATAAAGATAAAAATGATGAGATAAAAAGGATAAAATATATACGTAGTATAAAATAACAGGATAAAAGGATAAAAAAGCTATAAGAGTTCCATCTCCATACGTACACCTGCCCTCAACTTTAGTCTCTCCAAAATCATACTCTCATTCAAGTATCCAACCGAAGAAGAAGCATATCACTCTTGGCTCCTCTAATTCACGATTGTTTGGGTTTCCCTCTCCCTATCCTCCTCACTTTTTCTGCACGCTTCTCAATTCATCCAACAGGTATATCACTCGGTCTTCTTCGTGCATGACCAAATCACCGCAATCGAGACTCACATTTTATCTTCAATAGGTGTAATACTCGGGATTAACTTAAAAGAATTAATAGTACTACTCACACCAACAAGATGCATCTTCTTTTTTGAAGGTCATCTTCTAAGAACTCTATGTTTAGCGTGCTTGCACGAAAGCAGTTTTGGGATGGGTACCCCTGCGAAGTTTCTCGGGCACACACGAGCGAGAACAAAGTGCTCGCTAAAAAGCTCACGTTGGTTTGTGAGGAGAATACAGTGTGCTGATGAGAGCAATGACATTCAGGAGTAATTACCTTGGACCTTGCAGGGTTGGGGTGTTACAAGTGATATCAGAGCAACCCCGCGATAATGTGTTGATCTAGTTTATATGGTGACAAACATTGAAGAATAATCAGACTTGGTTCTACCTCCATTAAACTTGCACTCCATATACTCGATATTGTTTCGATTTAGTCTGATTGTTCTTCAATATTTGTCACCATACTTCCAACTTTGCTTTAACACCCGAGCTTAAGCAAATAATGATAAAAAGAGGAAATTATAGAGGAAAAATGTTAAAATTATTGTCTATATTCTAATTGCGTAGAATTAGGACTTTTGTATCCCTCTAGACTCTAGTAAGTTGCGTGAGACTACTCTCATTTGTGTTTCCTCTATTTGTTGTTCTGGTTTTTGCATGTCATATGTTATTTAATCATTCTCTATAATCTATGCAACAACTAGAGCAGGAAAATGACAATAAAATAATTTGTCACCTTTAGTCCTCCAATTTTGTGACAATGACACTTTTAATAATCATTTGTGAATTTTCCATTTTTAGTTCTTCATCTACTGTGTTGAAAGTAATATTATTCCTTGTCTATGAGCTTTTTCATTTAAAGTCCTTCGGCTACTGTTACAGTGAGACTCTCTAATTTCAATTGTGATTTTGGCACAATGGTTGGAGGATTAAAAGTGTTGCAAAGGCAGTAGTTCAAGGGACAAATGTGCCCCTTTCATAAAAGTCGGAGGACTAATAATGGAAATTTTGAAAAAGAGTAGTACAAATGCCTCGGTCACAAAGTGGGAAAAATAAACACGAGTTTCACAAGTGTCACTGAAACAATTCTAAAAAGGAAAAAGTGTTATAAGTCCAATAAAAATATATACCATTCTTTGTAATTTATTACTCCAACAATCGTTATCCGAATATGTGTTAAGATAAGAAGACTTGCGCAAGATCTCATCGAAGGTTGAGAGCCCACGAACAGGAAAGATGTCGCAGTATGAATTTTCAGATCTATGCTTAGAAATTTTGAATGTGTGCAAAACAGATGGCCCTAAAACAAAACAGACGTACGTAGCTTTAGTTTGGAATGAACCCGGTACCCGGCCTTGTCAAGACAGACAAATGAATCTTTCCCTAAACATATTTATTTTCACACAACTCTTATATAGACTATATAAGAGTTTTGGACTTGGGAAAAATACAAAAGTTCTCAAATAATTGAGAGACAAAATAATTGTCATAAGACAATAAGGCTTTCATGTGATAATAATTTGATTATAACTTGGCTGTAATAAATTAGAAATTGCCCTAAATAGGAGTAAAAACAACATGATGAAATAAATCAAAATGGCTCACTAAACTGTTTGCGCTTCTTTGTTATGAAGCAACAGTCAGTTCATGTAATTTTCGACGCGATTTTCACTATGGGTCATCCGGAAACAGTCTCTTTGTGTTGTAACATAGGGGTAAGACTGCGTACATCCGACCCCCTTACCCCACTAGAGGTGGGAGCTTTTGCAGCACTGGGGTAATGATAATGATGATGAATGAAGAGGAGTAAAAACAACGCAATATATCGAAATAGGAGGATTGTGTTTTCCCCTTTAAATAGGAGTAATTATGTGATGCTTGGAAAATGCTGCGAATTAATGCTCAGTGTGCTACCGAACTTGTGCTATCTCTGGACTGGTAGATTGGATTGCACAATCTTTGACAATAAGATGTTGTAGGGAGTGAATATGGCAGCTATCGTAGCTGTGGAACGCAGTCTTTGGTTATTTGAATAAATCTGCAAACTGTTTCAGAAAGCGTCAAAGTTGCGGCTGTTTTCAGGTCGATATGGCATGACATGTGTCACCATCCGTGCTTCTGTGTCAGTGGAACTGTGTGGTCCTAAATGATGAACTTAGTCCCTGTGACACTGCACCGTTAAGATCATGTTGAATCCTGCTAATGGTACACCACATATTTTTGTCATAAATTGATGGCCAGCCACATCATGTTCCAAATGAGGGCATTTATCGATGAATAGTGAGAAGACTAAACCAAGAAACACGTCTTTGGGAAGTCACTTCAAGCTTACCAAAGACCAGTCTCTGAGAACAGACGAAGAGAAAGCAGAAATGGCTAAAGTTCCTTTTGCATGTGCAGTTGGTAGCCTCATTTATGATATGGTGTGCACGAGAGCAGATATTGCTCATGCAGTCGGGGTTGTTAGTCGTTTCATGTCAAAACCGGGGAGGGAACATTGGGAAGCAGTTAAATGGATACTTAGGTATTTGAAGGGTACTACAAAGATGGGGTTATGTTTCAGAGGTAAAGACGTAATTTTGAGAGGGTATTCTGATGCTGATTTGGGTGGATGCAAAGAGACACTGCAGTTACGGGGTACATTTTCACAGTGGGAGGAACTGCAGTTAGTTGGATGTCCAAACTTCAGAAAAGTGTAGCTCTTTCAACAACCGAAGGAGAGTACATGGCAGTTGCTGAAGCCAGTAAAGAGCTGGTTTGGTTGAGGAACTTCCTTGACGAGTTAGACAAAAAGCAAGCAGATTACTCGTTACACTGTGATAATGAGAGTGCAGTGAAACTTGCCAAGAATCCAGTCTATCATGGGATAACAAAGCACATTGGGATGAGATATCACTTTGTCAGAGGGTTGATCAGTGGAGGAACGATGAACTTGAAGAACATCTCAGGTGCAAAGAATCCAGCAGATATGTTCACTAAATATGTGACGCTGGACAAGCTGAAGTTCTGTGTAACTTTAGCTGGCCTTCAAGAATAATGTTGAGAAGGCAGGTGGCAACTAGGAGGAGCTAAACACAGATGAAGTTGATCGTGTTTCGAAGCCTTCAAGTGGGAGATCATTCAGATGTGGGAGCCAAATAAACAAAGAGCTTCGGCCCATTCAGATGTGGGAGCCAAATAAACAAAGAGCAGCAGCCTGCTCTAGTTAAATGTGCAGGCAGCCCTAGTTGGGCCTGTTTCTTTGGTGGCAGTCAGGCCCAGAACCTTATTAAGTGTTTTACCCTAATTGTTTGCCTATATATATTGACTCCTGTACTTGTAAACTATGACTTGTATCATTCATCATCTCAATAAGAAAGAAAACCCTAGTTGCCCCCCGTGGATTAGGTCAGTAACACTTATTCGTGTGCCGTTCTTCTCGTTCTTTTCTAGATTTTCAGATTCGTGCGTGTGTGAGATCTTACCGTATCATAGTCTACTGCCAGTTTGCTGAAGGAAAATCAGCAAAGAAGCTTGATGTGGGTGCAGAAAATTGCCAGTGATGCTGCTGGAGTCAACCAAAATTTTAAGTGGGAGTCAATTTGTATGGCAAGATGACCTGAATCCGCCCATTGCAAGAAGCGATAGGCACGGCTCTCTGTCAGATAGGTTGGGTTTCCTTCAAGTTGGTCGTCATCCATGAATTCTATGAAGAATATGAGTTTGTAATGGTGCTCCGGTTCTCCTGATCACATTGATCATAGCAGGTATAACAAAAGCCCTTTTCATGCTGATTACATGGTTGCCACTGCGTCGTCAAGGCGTCCTGGCGATGGGATAGCCACACCATGCTTGGTAGACTCGCCTGAAGTCGCTGGTCACTGTCGCCTGTCGCTGATGCAGATCCTTGCTCCTCCGTTTTCTACCACCACTCGTTCTTCAGAATTTTTAGATCTGGACTCTATTCTCCTTCACTTTGCGTTTGTGTCCGATCGTTCTTTCTTTTTGACAAGCCGCTGTTTTTCTGTTTTTGTTTGTCTTTTTGTCAGTCGGTCGACTCCAGCTGGTCCCTTGACTACTTTTGGGGTATTTACCTTAATAGGAGTAAAACATTGAATAAGTGCATAAATAGAAGTAAAAATGTAATATCTTGACTAAAATGCCCTTGATAAAGTTCCAGATTTATTTACAATTAAAAAATAGAAAAACTAAAAGCAAATCAAAACCCTAACCACTCAACCTCCCATTCAATTGTTCAGCAACTGTCCAGCTAGTCCACCGACCAGCGAGTCCGCCGCCGTCCGGAAAGTACGCCGCCGCCGTCCGGGTAGTACGCCGCCACCTTTAGACGAGTCCGCCGTCGCCTCCTGACGAGTCTGCCGCCGCTGCCCGACGACTCCAGCAAGTCCGCTGCCGCCTTTGGGCGAGTCCGCCGTCGTCTCAAAGAACCATTGTCAGGGGCTCTGACAAGTCTACTGCCTCCAGGTAAACTCTGCTGCCTCAGGGGAGCCGCCTCCTCCAGATAACCTCCGCCACATTCAGGGAACCACTGCCTTCACCTCCAGGAAGCCGCCACCTCCAGAGACTTGTCGCCAGTATTAATGAAGTAATAAAAAAGGTTCAATATTGGGATAAAAAATAGAAAAGCTAAAAACAAATCAAAACCCTAACAACTCAACCTCTCAATCAATTGTTCAGCAACTGTCCAGCTAGTCCGCTGACCAGCCAGTCCGCCGACCAGCGAGTCCGCCGCCGCTGTCAGTCCAGTCCGCTGCTGCCGTCCGGAAAGTATGCCGCCGCCGTCAGACGAGTCCGCCGTCTGACGAGTCCAGCGAGTCCGCCGCCGCCATTGGGCGAGCCCGCCGCCGCCTCTGGAAGAACCATTGTCACAGGCTCTGACAAGTCTACTGTCTCCAGGTAAACTCTGCTGCCTCTGGGCACCCGCCGCCGCCTCCAGATAACCTCTGCCGTCGCATCCAGATAACCTCCTCCACTTTTAGGGAGCCGCTGCCTTCACCTCCAGGCAGCCGTCACGTCACCGGTCAAGTTGTCAACTGTGCATCTAACTTCGAAACTGAAAGCTCAAATAAGTCCCTGAATATGTTTGAATTGTTCAATTAACCCCCTCAACTTTAAAAAAGGTTCAACATTGGGATAAATTCAAAATAAATTGAAAAAATAAATATAAAATTATAAGATAGAGTATAAATATATATGGCAAAAATATTTATATTTTCCAGATAGTCCAAAATATGAATATAAAAAGATGAAAAGATACTACATGTATATTTTTTACATTAATAGTTTACTCTTAAATTTTTATTTTAGTCCTTTCATTTCCTACATTGAATTTTATTTGTGATTTCTAATTTTTTTATATTTTATACTTGGTCATTTTTTGTATGAATTGTACTTCCTTCGTTGTTTTTAGTTGCGACACTTTTATTTTCACGTTTGCCAACGCACAACTTTGACCATAAATGTATTTAATTTACTATTAGTAGAAACTGAAAAAATCAGATTTGGAAACTTTAACATGAGTCGAATTTAACAATATTTTTCAAAAATGAAATTCCTAAAACTTTAATAAATTAAATGTAGTCAAAGAAGAGCAAGTGAGAAGTGTAAAATTTAAGAGTAAACTATTAATGTAAAAAATATACATATACTATCTTTTCATCTTCATTATATTTTTAAATTCATATTTTGAATTAACCAAAAATATAAATAATTTTACCATGTATATTTATACTCTATCTTATAATTTTTATATTTATTTTTTCATTTCATTTTGAATTAATCCCAATGTTGAACTTTTTTTAAATTTGAGGGGGTTGATTGAACCATTCGAACATGTTCCGGGACTTATTTGAGCTTTCAGCTAAGTTAGATGCACAGTTGGTTGGCAACTTGATCGGTGACGTGGTGGGTGACCCGTTAAAACTGAAATTTGGACCACTTTTTTCCAGCTCAGGGTGTGAATTAGACTTTTTTTAGTCCAGAGACTAAATTGAGCTTACTCGACATGTACAAGGGCATGTTTGACCCTTTAGCCTTGATGTTATGAAATCTGTAATTCTGTTTTATTATAGTACCAAAACATAAAGTACAATGTACTGAACATAAGGCACAACGTACTGAATGCGTACCGGAATGAACCTACCCCCCTCTGAATCGGATACGCTAGACCTAGCAAACCGCGTTCCCTGTCCTTATTCCTGTACTGAAGCGTTCCATGAACTATGTGACTATGATCATAACGATCAAACTATAAATTCACTTTTTTTGGAAGACGTACACTTTTTTGTTATTAAGTTAATTAATTGTCCTAGATTAGGATTATTTTGGTACTATTTTGACTTCTCTACATGCTTTTCAAATTTAGTTATTCAACTCTTCCATCTGTGGTTCTATCAAATAACTATATTAGTATATTGTCTATAGCAAGGTTTAAAAAGGCTAGTTTGGGTATCAAGGTGGTTTGTTTTGGAAAGGCGAAGCGTAAGCCTCAAGGCATAATGATGTGTAAGCCTAAAAGCACCAACAGAAAAAACTTAAAACAGTTAAAGCAGTAATAAACAAATAAAGAATTGCATAATTGTAAGTCCAAAGAGTCACAAACACAAACACATAGGAACACAAGCCATTCATCATGACATGGCAAATCATCAACTAAAAGGTTTTCCTCATCATTGGTTAGGGATCTTAATTGAAGGTATCTATCTTTCAGTTTTTTTTAAACCTTGACCAGTTTTAGGAAAACATGACGAACAACTCAGTACAAGAAGGTGAGGATAAAAGGAGAAGAAGAAGTGAAGGAGAGAAGATGAAGAAGGAGAAGAGATGTCGAAGAAGATGAGTAGTCGAGAAGAGAAGTTACATGGAAGAATGGAGTGTGTAAGAAGTTGTCTAACTTCTTTGAGCAAGACTATGAAATCTTCTTTGTGCAAAAGTGTGCAAACATTTTAACGATTAATGAATACTTTAAATAAAACAAGATTTGTTAGGGGTTTAGTGTGACTTAGACACATGTTCAATGTATGGGCCTTTTATAATGAAATACATTGGGCCTTTCTTAAGTTACAACCCATTAAAAAATAGAAACAAAGGAAATCATGCCTTAGAAAATGCCTCAAGGTGTACGCCTAAACTTTTGTGGCGTAAGCCTCCTGTCCTGCGAAAAAAATTTACCTAAGCCTTGATACCTTCTCTGTACGCCTCATCTTGAAGCGCGCCTCAAAACCCGCATTGTAAGTGCCTTTTTAAACCATGGTCTGTAGTTCATATTTAAAGTTGTTTTGGTGTAATGTGGCGATGTTATAATTGCGCCCTCTCCATTGCCACGTTAAACTGCTTTGCCCCATTATGGTCACCATACACCATGACAACTATAATCAAATCGAACATCCAATAATGTTATATAATCTGTTCATATGTCCTTTTAGGGAAAGTGGAAAATTTGTGAAACATGGTATTTGAATGTGCATTTTAACTACAATTTCATATGTCGAATTCATATTAACTGACCCAAACATTCTTGAGACTAAGGTTTGGATGTCATTGTTGTATGGTATTTAGTTTGCAAATACTGTTTGTATAGAAGAATCTAGACAGCTCATATTTCTAATTTATTGTGTAGCTTATGTAACGGTTCTCTGGAGCTGTCTAGACTCTTCTATAGTGTGTACATATAATCATATGATAAAGCTTCACTGTTAATTGGTTCAGGGGCCTAGGGTTATCGTTGTGGGGCCCTCGGATTCTGGTAAGAGTACCTTAGCACGGATGCTTCTTAGTTGGGCTGCTAAACTGGGGTGGAAACCGACCTTTGTGGATTTGGACGTAGGCCAAGGTTCTATAACTGTACCAGGTTGTATTGCTGCTACTCCAATTGAATTGCCCATTGATCCAGTAGATGGAATTCCTCTTGAAATGCCACTAGTCTACTTCTATGGCCATGTTAGCCCGAGGTATCAATTGTTAATTCTTATTGAGTTCACAATTCGTTTAACCTTCCTGTGTTGTAATTAGATTAATGTCAGAAAGCCATTGATTGGTTCAGAGAGCGGGGGGAAGAGGGGGTGACACGAAAGGAAAATAGTGGCAGTGAAGTGTAACTCTGTTTTGTTCAACGGAGTGAAAATGAATTTGTATTTTGGAAAAATATGTAAAAACTATCCTATTTGGTACTACCTCCATTCCAAAAAATGTCATGTTTCACCAAGTTATTGGTTTTTAGTTTTAGCAAGGTACAACATACAACTTTTGAAAATTATAAATTCCAGCTATATTTTAATTTTTCACGTGGGTTTAACTTAATTAGGGAAAAATAATATAAGTACTCCAAACATGTATATATATATACACATTATACATCGAACTTTATTTAAAAAAGATATCTTAGCACCATGAACATATATTTTTCTTTCTATGTGATTGAGGTATGCAGACTAGACTGAAGGGTAAATTTTATCGCACAACAATTAGGCCTGCATTGATGTATGACGTAGAGTGTTGGTCTAGGAAACAATGTCACATTCAAAAGATGAATGTGGCAGAGATGTGTATGTTGCGTTGGGTGTGGGGACATATCAGAAAAGACCGTCTGAGAAATGTGATAATCAAACAAAATGTGGGAATAACACATATAGAAGATAAGATGCACGAGTCGATTGTGGTGGCTTGGTCATGTGCGTAGAAGGTCGGGTGATGCACCCTGTTAGATGAGTTGAGAGATGGGGAGAAGAGGCGGGAAGGAGAGGAAGATGAAGACCTAAATAAATTTGGATTAGAGGAATCAAAACTGATATGCTTCTTCTTGTGTTGGATGAGAGTATGACTTTGGAAAGTGCAAAGTGGAGGTTCCAAATTCATGTGGACGATTGATTTCTTCTCTCGCTTTTCTCTTCTCATTTTCTTTTATCTTCTTTATCTTTCAATGATCTTGTGTTAATTTTTATCTTTTATCTTTCTTATGTTCTTTTATCATCTGACCCCTTACCCCACCATAGGTGGGAGCCTTTACGGCACTGGGGTAATGATGATAATCTTTCTTATGTTCTTTTATCTTTTTATCTCTTATCTTTCTTATATTCTTATGTTATTTTTATCTTTTATTTATATCTTATCCATTTTATCTTACCTTATCTTTTTATTTTACTTATCTTTCTTCTCTTTTTGGCTCTGATATCATAGATCGATTCATGTTAGCCGACCACAAATTTCTTTGGGAATAAGACTTCGATGTTGTTGTAAATGTAAATTTATGATTTTAAGTACATAATAATTTAAGATGCTCTTAGTATTTGTGTGGACACAGTTAACATTCTAAGCGTCCATTGTGAAATAAATAATATTACCCCCGGCATATATAACTGCAACACTTTTAATTTGATATATGCCATCACACGACTTTCATTATTACCATATTTAATTGTCTTTTTTACATTATTCACTCTACTTTGACTTTATTTTACTCATTGATGTATTAAACAATTTTCCTATTTAAAATATTATAAAATTTGTCTCGGATTAAAATTTTAAGATGACTTTATATGCTTCGTAATTTTTTATTAATAGTCAATGTTAATAGTCAAATTGTGTGTTGGCAACTACTCCCTCCGTCCCGCTAGAAGGTTCTCACTTTCCTTATTTGGATGTCCCATTAGAAGGTTCTCATTTCCATTTTAGGAAACAATTAACAATCTTAAGTGACAAATTAATAATTAAATATTAAAAATAATACATTTATAACATCATAGTTATCAATACGAACTACATTATAATATATACCTATTAATATTATTTCTCAAAATATACTCGAATTACTTTATTTAATTATTGTCTAAATAACCGTGCCATTTTGCTATGGGAACCTTCCAACGGGACGGAGGGAGTATCAAATAAAAGTGTTGCAACTATATAGATCAGAGACAATATTAGTTATTTCCCAAATAGAATCTAAGAATTTTAACTGTACTCTCATAAATGCTAAATGTATTTAAATTATTTACTTACCATGAATTTTTTTATATAATGTTTGGGGTATTTTTATTACATATGCAAGTTTGGGGTGTTTACTTCTCACCCCTTCAAAGTTTGACGTATTTAAATTATTTTACACTGAATTAACATACTTTGTTCCAATAGTAACATTTTTTGGGACTACTCACAAAAATTAAGTTTTCAAATATGACTGTTTTTCAAGGGGTTTAACTTTTGTTGTAAATAACAATGAATGTTGATCTGCATGTATAAAAACAATTATTTTTTCTTTCCTGGTGAGACCCGACCCACGAGGTGGTTCGGGGTGGGGGCCAGGAAACACCCCACCAATTTATTGAACTCAAAAGGTTAAACATAGTAGGAGGGCCAAACCAAAGCCTACTCAAAATGTATATAAAAAACTCCCACAAATATTGGGGGAGTGAGATATCAGGAGTTTGAAGGCTCTTATAGCTCCTCTACACCCCACTCCCCCAACTTCTTCTTTCCTCGTCTCCCCTCCGAATTCCTCCAACCAAACAAAGGCATATAGATGACGAGTAAGTCTGATAAGTTGTTTTCAACTTGGTGATTTGCAGTGTGAATGTTGATCTTTACAAGGTAATCGTAAAGGAACTAGCTAAAACTTTGGAAAAGCAATTTGCTGGAAATGCGGAATCACAATCTGCTGGAATGGTTATCAATACCATGGGTTGGATAGAAGGGGTTGGTTACGAGGTAATTAACCTCTACCTAATAGCTCAGAAACCCCAAGTCTTTGACATGTGATGTCTCTATCCCTGATTATGTTATGATTTATTTTTGTTTCAGTTGCTACTTCATGCAATTGATACCTTCAATGCCACTGTTGTTCTTGTCTTGGGTCAGGTACATACAGTATTAACGACATATGAAAGTATTTTTGTTGTCCTGCTGTAAAAGCCTTGTGGAAATTCCTGTGGGATTTAATTTAACTACATTGTTCTGGAATTTATTTGGTATCTTTTAAAGCACACACTCAACATAAGCATGTTTTCCCTGAGCATATATTATTAAGTATCAATATGTAGGTATCAAAGCATAGAATTTATAAGTTGTCTGTAGGTAGGTCACACCCGTCAAAATGTTAAGTTTAATTTATTTAGGGAAAAATACCTATATATGTGTAAAACTCATGCCGATTTCTAAAATATGACCGTGGATGTTTCTTTCTCAATATATGACTGAATATGTTTGGAATGAAATAAGAAAAATGAAACACTAGGTGGTATGGTACATGCTATTTGGCTTGCTTTTGGGAAAAAAAGATACAAGTCATATTTTGGGAAACACACAATGTTTTGGTCATACAAGGGGTAATTTTCTCATTTATTTATGTAGTTATGCAAAATGGACAGCCAGTTGATCTGGAAAATGTTTCACAAGCAGTTAATTGGTATGTGCTGGATGTTTTCAATTGGCCGGCACAATAATACGTAGTATAAGTCTATAAGATAACAATAGATTGTTTCAAGGGTCAGTCTGACTTTTCAAGTTTAGTACTGATCACAAACTGCCTACCCCCTCCGTTCCTATTAAAACTTCCAAATAGGTTTGGCACACAGTTTAAGATAGTGGGTATTGTGTGGTGGAGAGTTGTGCAGAGGAGAGAGAAATGTGTAAGAAATGTTGTAAACCACAAATTCTTTAATAAAAAGGGAAAGTGGAAGTTTTAATTGGAACGGACGAAAAAGGAAAGTTGGAAGTTTATTTAGGAACGGAGGGAGTATATTTTTTATATAATGTGGAGATTGATATATATGGATTTTTTTATAATGAGCACAATATACAAAGATGTTTTACAATGAGGGCAATTCATTATGCAGGAGAAACTGTGGAGTATGCTCAATAACGTTTTGAAAAACAAGCCTAATGTTGATGTAGTGAAACTTCAAAGATCTGGCGGTGTTGTGTCTAGGAATGCTAAAGTACGTGTAAAGACCAGAGCCAATAGAATGAGGGTAAATGTTTTTCTTTTTGCATAAGTAGAGAGCAACTTTGTGCTGGATTGCTTCCATTTGTTATTCTTTTACTTATTAAAACTACTACTTAGAAAAAAAGGGAAAATTCCCGATATAAGAGTAAAAACGTTTGAGAATTCTATAATAGGACTGTGATATATTTTTCCTTAATTAGGTGAACGTTATTGCCATCTTGAAAATTTACTGCCATGTTTGGGCATTACCAGATTTTAAACATGGCAATATACTGCGAAGTGACTATATTTTCAAAACTTGACTCTAATTACTACTCCATCCGTCCCATTAGAAGGTTTCACTTTCCTTTTTTGGACGTCCCGTTATAGGATTTCCATTTCCATTTTAGGAAACAGTTAACAATCTTAAGTGACAAATTAATCATTAAATATTAAAAATAATACATTTATAATATCAAAATTATCAATACTAACTACATTATAATATATACCTATTAAAATTATTTCTCAAAATATACTCGAAGTACTTTATTTAATTATTGCCTAAATAATCGTGCCGTTTTGCTACGGGAACCTTCCAATGGGACGGAAGTAGTACTATTTAGGGAATAAAAACATAACAATCCTATTTTGGAATTCCCCAACGTTTTTGCTCCTATTTAGGGCAATTTCTTTAAAAAATCATGTTTTGATTTTTCAATAACAGGAATACTTTTATGGTCAATCAAATGATCTTTCTCCACACTCCAATGTAATAAGTTTCGGTGACCTGTCAGTATTCCGAATCGGAGGCGGCCCACAGGCCCCGCGTTCAGCTCTACCGATTGGTGCAGAGCCAGTTGCAGATCCAGCAAGATTAGTTCCTGTCAGCATCAACAGAGACTTGTTGCATTTAGTTCTTGCTGTCTCATATGCCAAAGAACCTGATCAGATTATTTCCAGGTATACACCAATGAAATACTCCCTACCCAAAAACTAAAAATCATGTTTCTGAACTCCCCCCCTCAAAAAAGTGTTATATCATCAAAATAAGAACTAATTTTGATTGAATTTAATGTAATTTTTCCCAAAAAGTGAACCGAACAAGTTAAGTATGCTGAATTTAGTTTAACAAACAAATAAATTTATATTACATAGGATGGATAAATTAGAAGAGACACTTTCCTATCATTGCATTCAATGTGTGTATGGATGATTTTGAAGAGTTGAACTTTTTTTATCACATTCAATGTAAGTGGATGAATCATTGAATTAATATAAGTTTTACAAGGGAAAGTTCTCGAAAGAGGAGTAAACGGGTTTTGGAATTCTAATGCTATGTTTTTCTTTCCGAAGTAGGAGTAACATGGCAGTATTTATTGACAATAAATTATTGCCAAGTAGTTGCACTACTAGGTGTGAAAGATATAATAGTAGTAGTAATAGTAGTAGTAGTAGTAATAATAATAATAATAATAATAATAATACTAATATGCTTTAGGAGATAGAATACAGAGTACATGTTTGGTGGAGGTAGAAGCAGTGGTAATAGCGGAATTACTCTAGATGGTAAGGAGATATCGGTTAGCGATATGTTCCGTTACTTAGGCTCCATAATTCAGAAGGACGGTGAGTTAGATGGAGATGTATTCCATAGAATCAGAACATGGTGGATGAAGTGGAAGAGTGCGTCAGGATTTCTATGCGATCGAGGTATGCCGACTAGACTGAAGGGTAAATTTTATAGGACATCAATTAGGCCTGCATTATTGTATGGCGTAGAGTGTTGGGCGGCAAAACAATGTCACATTCAAAAGATGAGTGTGACAGAGATGCGCAAGCTGCGGTGGATGTGTGGGCATACTAGGAAGGACCAAGTGAGGAATGAGACAATCGGACAAAGGGTGGGAGTAGCGCCTATTGAAGACAAGATACGTGAGTCGCGCCTACGATGGTTTGGTCATGTGTATAGAAGACCGAGTGATGCATCTCTCAGACGAGTTGAGATGTGTGGAGAAGAGACGGGGAAGAGAGGGAGAGGAAGACCCAAACAGACGTGGGTCAGGGGAGTCCAAAGGGATATGCTTCTTCTTGGGTTGGATGAGGGTATGGCTTTAGAGAGCAAAGTGGAGGGTGGATATTCGTGTGGAAGAGTGATCTCGTATCATCTTTTCCTCTCATCTTTTTTTCCTTGTTTTTTATCCTTTTATCCTTATATATATAAACATTATTTTTATCCTTTTATTTTATCATTTTTATGTATACTCATCTCTTTGTATATCTTCTTTTTTATAATAGCTTATCTTTTTTATCTTTATTTTCTTTCATTTTTTTTTGGTGGTGTGATATCATGTATCGATTCATGTTAGCCGACCCCGATATCTTTTGGGGCTAAAGCTTGGATGTTGTTGTATGCTTTTGGAATATACTCTAGATATTAGTGTATAGCATCTATATATAGGGCCTTGGCCCTTCAATGAGAAATATACAAAAAATCCTTTCCAATATTATTTCTTAGTTTATATGCTTTATTTCAACATGGTATCAAAGACTTACATTTCAGTTCAGTATTTAGGCTCAGTTTTTTCTCGAAGAAGCTGAATTAACTCCAGAACCTTACACACCATTTTGTCTCCAAGAAACTCACTTCCCAGAACCTCCGATCTCAGAACCTCTTCCAACCTCCTACCTCTTCCCAGAACCTTTTTCCAGACCCTCTTCCCAGAACCTCCGATCTCAGAAGCAACTGGGTATCAGGCAACCCTTGTCTCACCTCTGCCCTAACCAGGTGCACCTGCCGCCGCCGACCACGTCTTTGAAATCCGCACCGGCAAATTGTCGCTCGTCAGTTACACGCGCCGCCGAAGGCTTTTGTGTCTGCTGCACATGCGAGCGCGTGAGGCTTCATATCTCACCGGATTTCTGGTCGGGAATCTCCATCTAGGTCGCCTGATTATTCTCTGAATTCATTTTTTTATCTGCAAGCTTCTGGATCCACAGGCTTGTCGAGGTTACTCCCAGCTCCAGCGGCAGAAGCCCCCATTTTGTCACTTGATTCTTACCAGGTTGAGTAAGGATGGGATTTGAGACTCGGTGAGCTGGCTCGCATTTGGAAGAGGGTCGCTTTATATATTTTGGACCGTATCATTATATCAAGAGGGGTTGTGGCAGAAACCAAGACCTTGCCAACCATCTATTGAGTTGCCGTTGGTAAGTCTTAACCAGTTGTATTTATTTATTGTAAAAAAGATAAAGAAAAAACAAATCAAAAACAAAAAAAAATGTCTTGTACGGGTTTGACAGAGTAATATGCAATTATGCAATTACTGCAAGAAGTCCGGGCACTTGCTCAAAGAAATGAAGAATGTAGAAAGTTGTTAAAGATTCAAGGCAATCAGCTGGCTCATGTTGCTTCCGCTACCTACTCATATGATGGATCAATAATCAATTGCTATTTCTCCATACGAGTATGTCAAATTTATTTGCTACCAAGAATCTCTAAAACATTTCTCTGTATTTCAAACACATGTCTTGTTTCATCCTCCTCGAAATGGGTCATTGACTCAGGTGCCACATATCATATGACCGGTAATTCTTGTCTATTCTCGTCATTTCATTCATATTTACGTATTTCTAGTGTCACTTAAGCTGACGGGTCTATCTCACCCGTCCTTGGATCCGGTATTGTTCTCCAACTTCTACATTATCGTTATCGCCTGCTTTGAGTCTTCCTAATTTTGCGTTTAATCTGTTTTCCATCAATAAAATCACACACACTCTTAATTGTTTTGTAACATTTTTCTTAGATATTGTGTGTTTCGGGATCTGTTAACGAAGTGGATTATTAGTAAAGGACATGAGTATGCTGGTCTTTATATTTTGGAACTTTGTTAGAGGCTCATTACCGACTAGGACACTCATCTCTCCCACTAATAAAACAAATATATCCTCGGTTTAATAAGGTATCATCTATACAATGTGAGTCGTGTGAATTTGCAAAACACCATCGTACTAGCTTATGTTCTCGAGTTAATAAACTATCAAATGCTCCATTTGACCTTGTTCATTCTGATGTTTGGGGTGTTTGTCCGGTTGTGTCCAAAGCTGGTTTCAATTATTTTGTTACCGTTGTTGATGATTACTCTCGTATGACGTGGTTGTATTTCATAAAACGTCGATCCGAGTTGTTCACTCATTTTTTTTCTTTTGTGCTGAAATTAAACTCAATTTAATGTTCATGTTCGTGTGTTAAGGGGAGACGATTAGGGGTGAGCAGAACCCGAACCCACCCGAAAACCCGATCGGGTAACCCCTTACTAAACCGACTGGGTCGGTTGACCCGAACCCGAAAATCCGAACCGAAACAGCCCAACCTAACTTTTAAGGATATTGGGTTACGGGTAGGGTATTAGAAATTCCTACTCGACCCGCCCGAAAACCCGAACTTGAGGTACCTATATAAACAAATTAATTTACCCTAACCCTAACTTCCTAACCCTACCGCTTCACTCTTCATTCGCAACTCCCTCAAACCCTACTCCAACCTCTCTCTAACCAGTGAACCACTCGTCCATCCACCTTTCTCTGGTAGTCCGCCATACCCTATCTGCCTTGGTGGAACTGTGGAAGCCGAATATAGCCTACTAGCCTTACGAAGTTACAAATGTGGACCTGTGGTCTTGTAGATTTGTGGAAGCTTTTTCCAGTTCGAATATCTTAATTGATACTGAGGTATAAATGTTAAATACTTAAATTGTATGCTTGGTCCGCTTGGATAAACCATATAATGCATGTTCCGATATGTAATATTGGCTTTGAAATGTGCTTTGGTGGAAGCTTGATGCCTAAATCTGATGTCTTATGATTTTGTATATGAATTACCTGTGTTACTTTGATGCACTGTAATGTGTTTGGTGGAAGCTTGAAACCCTAGATTCGGGCTGTGAAACCCTTTGTATAAAATACTTGTTAATCTGTGATGCTTTGGTAATTGGTCATGTATGTGAATCTATGATTCTGAGATTTTGACAAGTGTTGATGATGGTTGATTTATTCTGATTAGTCTTGAAGTTACCTTTTTCTACTCAAACAATCAAAGGAGTAGTTAGAGTGAACTGGTATCTTCTGATTGTTCCAGACTTTATTGTGAATGTATGATGTTGTGTTCAATCTGTGATGCTTTGGTCACGCCTGAGAATCTGTTATTCATATATTTTGAGTAGAAGCTGCTTATTTCTCTGATATGTGTGTAAATTGTAATGTGGAGCAATCAGAATTATGATGCTTTCATACAAATATTTTGTATATTCTGAATTTCTGATTATTGGTGAATACAATTTGCTGAGTAAAGATGATGGTTGATTTATTCTGACAAGTGTTGAAGTTACCTTTTTCTACTCAAACACTCAAACGAGTAGTTAGAGTGAACTGGTATATTCTAAGTCTATAGAAAAGAGAATAAGCCTACTACTTATATCCGTCTGTAGATCAGCTTGCTGATTGTTCCAGACTTTATTTTGAATGTATGATGTTGTGTTCAATACTTAAATCTGGCAATTGCATGTTTGCATTGAGGGTTTTGAAATTTGAACTGTATAAACTTATCAGTTATCAGAATGGAAGTATGGAACTTGAATGTATGGATACCATGCATGCATTTGGTTCTAAACCTCCTTTGACTCCTATTTCCCAAGAACCTATGGTGGAAGCTCATGATGGTGGGGCTAACACCAGCACACAACAGACAAATGTTCCTGGAAATAAGAAAAAGGAGGTAGAGTCGAGATCTAAAATTTGGGATCAGATTGATAAGATCAAAGATAGTAATGGTGTTGTTGTCAAAGGAAAATGTGTACATTGTGGTAAAATATATTGTCATTCTAAGAAGCATGACACTTCCTCTCTTAGAAATCACATACTCAGTTGTCTCAAAATGCCTTGCTCAAAGGATGCTAGGCAACCCCTTCTCATTTTCCAACCAGTGTTTGATCAGGGTGCAATTAGGAGAGCACTTGCTGAAATACGTATCATTGATGAGCTTGCATTTAGATTTGTAGACAGGCAAAGATTTAAGAAGTTTATCTCTGTAACTTGTCCTAGGTTCCAAATTCCTTCCAGATGGACAATTGCTAGAGACATCTACCAAATCTATTTAGATGAGAAACTGAGTCTGAATTGTCTCAACTGTCAAACTGCATTATGTATAAGTGTATAACTACGTGTCAGTGTGTATGGGACTGTCTTTGGAGTTGTACAAACTCTACTATTTTGCATTTTTGCTACTTGTCCACTTGTTATAATATTTTGCATTTATGCATGTAAAAATGTGTATAAGTCTATTGCTCTGTTTGTAATTGTATACAAACTTTTAATTTGATTGTGAGATTGTTATCATGTTATGATTTTTAATGGTTTTTAATCAACCCGAATAGGCCCGAAAACCGATTCAAACCCGACCGGAATCCGAAATTGTGCAACCCGAATACCCGATATTTTTATTTGACAAGGTAGGGTTTTAAATTATAAACCCGATAACCAAATGGGTATGCCAAATCTCAACCCGTCCTACCCGAACCCGTCCGACACTCACCCCTGGAGACGATGCCCAAGAATATCTATCTACTTCATTTAAATCTTTTATGCTTCAACATGACATTATTCATCAAACTTCATGCGGAGACACACCTCCTCAAAATGGAGTTGATGAAAGAAAGAATCGACATCCCTTGGAAACTACAAGGGCTCTTCTATTCCAAATGAATCTGTCCAAACAGTTTTGGGCTGATGTTGTGTCTACTTCATGTTTTTTGAATAATCATATGCCGTTTTAAATCGTAAAACTCCTTATCACTGTCTATTTCCAAATAAAGAGCTTTTCTTATCCCACTTAAAATATTTGGTTGCACTTGTTTTGTTAGAGATGTTAACCCTCATCGCACGAAGTTAGATCCTAAATCATTAAAATGTATTTTCTTAGGTTATTCTCGAGTTCAAAAGAGGTTTAGATGTTTTTATCCGAGTACAAGTCAATATCTTATTTCAATTGATGTCTCATTTCATGAAAATACACCTTTTTCATCATCCAAGACAGATATTCATGAGGGCAATGATGAAATATTCATTTACGCGGTTACTATACCTGAGTCCACACCTTTAGTAACTATACCGAATGTTATTGTTCGTGTACACCCGCCGAAACAAAGCACCAGATCACACTCCACCTATGACACCTATGATTACTTATCCCGATACTGGTCCAACCTCGAGCTCATGTCATGAACCAGTACCTTCATCTTCATATCTTGTCTCTACATCAGATCTTGACCTCCCGATACCACTACGTAAAGGTACATGGTCTTGTACTCATCCTATTTCTTCTTGTGTGTCGTCCGGTCAGTTCTCCCCTTCTTGTGTATCCCGATATTGGGCTACTTGATCTTTTAGTACAAAGAGAAACTACTCAAAGCATTCTATTTATGTTCTTTTGCTCCAATGTATAGCTGACTTGCTGAAGGTTTTCCTTTTGTTGAGTTGACCGGTTCATCTTCTTATCTAATTTCTGACTGTTCTTGGGGGTGACAGCAATGTTGCTGGGTTCATCTATATCACTGAGATTGACATGAAAAGGTTTGAAGCCCTTTCCTTTCTTCTGCGGACAAATTTGTGCTGTTTTATATACACCGGTGAGTATATGCTTACTATTAAGTAATTGTTTCAGGAAGCAATTAACATATCTTGCACCATGTGCCGGAGAACTTCCTAGCAAAAATCTTATAGTGGGGACGTTGGCTTGGATGGAGAATTGAGATACCGCATAGCATGATCATCCTGGCAATTTCAAGAAAACTCTCTGGCTCATTGTCTATTGCAACAAATGTAGTGTTGAGAATTTCTATATATGATCACGATCTTGGTATAAAGTGATGATAGCTACATTTAAAATGTGGTCTGCAAATTGCTGGAATTGTATTTTCTAAAGTTCACATGCATTAGATGTTGTTCTGGGACGGGTCCTGTAATCTTGTTCGGTTGGATCTTCTATTCCTGCAGGGCCCCTAGACAAGTGTCTGGGCCCCCCAAATTTCAGGCTCTCAAAATTTTAAAAGTAAGCCCATTAGTATTTTTTTGTTATTTATCGATGTAAGCCCATTAGTAAATATTCAATTTTAATTGTAAATATTCAACTTTAATAGTAAATATTTGATAAAATATTAATTCTTAAAAAATACCGCTACACTCACAAAATATCTAATTAAGTATTAATGTCACCATAATATATTAAAAAATCATGTAAAATTATAAAACAAAGTTTGAATTAGTAAACAAAATATCTAACCAAAAATATACTAGTATAAATTAAATAGCACATAACTACACAAATTAAGTAGTACCAAACTTTGATATGTAGAAAATTAGACATCACTATCTATAACCATAAAAGATAGCACCACAAAGTCATAATTCATATATGTTTAAGAAAACAATTTAAAGCTTAATAACTCTCAAAAGTGTAAGTAAAATTAAGACAATCAAATTAATACTTTATTGGGCAAGACTGCAAGAGTATTTGTTTAAAAAATTATAGAAAATTTGATGCATGTGGAATACATAATTTTTAAAGAAATTATACATTTTGTGATGATGGGATTAGGGGTGGATTCGGTTCGGGCCACCCGGCCCGGTATTGTGCGGGCCCGGGACCGGCCTGGTCGGGCGGTCCGGGACCGGGTGTAGACCCGAACCGGTGGGAATGGGCGGGGCGGGCACGGTTCCGGGTCCAACGGTCCTATTTTTTTAAAAAAATGTTAAATACTTACTAGCCGTTATGGCCTTGGGGGGTGGGTTGGGGACAACCCAAACGGCTATATAGCCGTTGGGTGGGGTGCAGGGGGGTCCGGGGGGGTTGGGTGGTGGGGGTGGTGGTGGGGGTAAAAAAACCTAAAAATACTCCTAATCTTAAACATTTTTTCATATCTCTTCTCCAATTCTTCCTAAATCCTATTAACTCTCTACTCTCTAATTCTCTTATTCTCCAATATATTATATTTATTATTTATAGTTTATATTAATTATCTACTTATATAAACTATAAATAGATATAAATAGTATTATGTTACTTATATTTGTTATCTAATTATATATTACTTATATATTTATTATATCTATTAATATAGTTGGAATTATATCTAATTAATTTGAAGTCATTCTATTACTCCCATCCGAAACACCGAAAGTTCGAAAGAGGTACGAAATTATTCTATTATTTACACTTGTTTAATTTTGTATTAACGTTACTTGAAAAAAAACTAGTTAATTAGGTTGTACAATTTGCTATAACTCGAATTAATAGTTAGATTAATAGTTAATTACTTTATTAAAAAATAGTTAATTAGGTTGTACAATTTGCTACATTTGACTCTAGTTTAAAAAACTAGTTGTAATTCTAACTATAGTTAAAGTTAAAGTGTATTAATTTCATTGTTGGTAAAAAAAATATGTTGTACACAAAACTAGTTAATTCACTAGTTAATTTGCTATAACTCGAATTAATAGTTAGATTAATAGTTAATTACTTTTTTACAATTTTTTATTAATTGCTACATTTGACTCTAGTTTACAAAAATAGGTTGTACACAAAACTAGTTAATTCACTAGTTAATTTGCTATAACTCGAATTAATAGTTAGATAAATAGTTAATTACTTTTTTACAATTTTTTATTAATTGCTACATTTGACTCTAGTTTAAAAAAATAGGTTGTACACAAAACTAGTTAATTCACTAGTTAATTTGCTATAACTCGAATTAATAGTTAGATAAATAGTTAATTACTTTTTTACAATTTTTTATTAATCGCTACATTTTTTAGATGAATCGTTCTAGATATTCGGTTGATATGGGTAACCTCGAACGCAACCGAACGAAAGAGCTTGCGAGGAAGAGATCCCGCAAAGGTAAATCACATATCGGCTCTTCATCTCAAAGTCGAGATGATTTTGATACGGGTTACGCAAGGAGGGATGGGGATGCGATGACCGACGAACAACTAGAACAAGAATTGCACCGACATAATTCCCGCTTTTTTCAAGACCAACCGAGGACCATTGACGAAGAAGAGCTCGAGGACGAGGACGACGATGTGGAGGAAGTAATTCCGGAGAGCCACGACGACGAGGAGGAGGAGGGTGGCGGCAGCCATGACGCCGACCAACCTGCCTCATCCCAAACAGGTACAAAAAAAGTAAATCTGAACTAATGGCTAATAATTTTTCTAAGTGGAAGGACCCGAACACCGGGAATTGGACCGCAACTTGCAATTGGTGCAAGAAAAACTATAGCTTGGGGATTTCCGGCGGATACGGATCCGCCACAAGACACCTTAAGTCCAAACACCCGGTGGAGTATGCAAAATTAGGCGGCGGAACGGGGAAGCAAACGCAAATATCGAGGTTTGCAAATAACCAACAAGCTTTTGGTAATTTCTCATAATGATGCACAAAATTTGACAGGTATGGCTAACTTACTTGTTGAAGAAAATTTGCCTTATTTGTTTTCTGAAAGTCTTGCTTTTCGTGATTATGCACAAACTTGTTTAAATCCGCAATATAGAGGTTATAGTCGCAAAACGGTTAAGAAAGAAATTTCAAGGCTTTATGGTGCGGAAAAGGTAAGGTTACAAAATTATTTTGCAAACTTTGATGGACGTGTTACTGTATGTTCTGACATATGGGAGGATACTTATCATAATTTACATTATTTAGGTCTGACTGTACATTATATTGATAATGATTGGCATATGCATAAACGTGTTCTTGCTTTCCGTGAATTTAATGATCGTCACACCGCTGAACATATTTATATTTTGATTGAGCGTATTTTAATTGAGTATAATTTAATTGATAAGGTGTTTGCTATTGGTTTTGATAATGCTACTAATAATACTGCTGCTATTCCTAGATTGCGTGAATTGTGTGGTTCTACTTCTTTGATGGGTAGATTTTTTCATCAACGATGTGCATGTCATGTTCTAAATTTATGTGTGCAAGATGGTCTAAAAGCGTTGGGAGCATCGTTGGAGGTAGTCACGGGGGATTAGACGTATTTGGGGTAATGGACAACTTGGGAAAAAATGGCATGATTATTTGATAGAAAGAGGTGTGAGATATGTGGCTTTTCCTAAAGATTTGTCTATTCGTTGGAATAGTACCTATAAGTTAATTGGAGTTCTTCTTAGATATAAACAACATTTTCCTGCTTTTACGAAACAATATGATAACTATATTATAAACTCGGCTGAGATCGACACATGTGAAAAAATTTGTAATGCTTTGATATATTTTAATAATGCAACTGAAACTTTTAGTCATTTTTATAAACCTACCTCAAACCAATTTATTCGTGAAGCTGTTAATCTCGCCGGTGCTTTTTCAAATTTTGAGAATGCTGATTATGTGATTTATTTTGCTAGTTTTATGAAGGAAAAGTTTTTAAAATATTATTCACATATTCCGCATATTTATGGTATTGCATTTGTTCTCGATCCTCGTTTTAGACTTGGTTCTTTAGAAGAATGTATGAATTATTATTATGCTGCTTTTTTTGGTCCATTGCCAAGGACAACCCAATTGATCCGAAAAAAGAATACAACGAAGTTAGTGATATATTTTATGCATTATTCAATGAGTTTCATGCACAATATGGCAATGCGCCCCCTCCCCCGACACAAACATCATCTAAAGGAAAATCAATTTTCAAATCTACGTTTGCCAATCTTATTAAAAAAACGAAATCAACTCTCGCTACACAACAAAGCACAATTAATGAGATTTCTTTGTATTTAACTTATGATGTTGATTTTGAAGAAGATGATGATTTTGACGTACTAAACTGGTGGAAGGTAAAAGAAAGAATGTTCCCGGTTTTAGCAAAGATGGCTAAGCAAGTGCTATCAATGCCGGTTTCAACGGTTGCCGTGGAACAAGAATTTAGTTCGGCCGACAATGTCATAACACAAACCAGAACGAGGTTGAGCGCTGAATCTCTTGAGATGCTTATATGCTACCACGATTGGTTGAAAGCAGCCCGTAGAGCTCAAGAAATTGACATCACCCCATCCCAACACTTTATGGATGAATCTACAACCGAGAGTGGCTCTACATATGCTGGAGATTCCGATTGAATGATTGATTAGTATTTCATGTTTTAAAAACAATTGTAGTTCCTATTTAATTTTCAAATGTAGTTCCTATTTCATTTCAAATAAATGCACTTGAAGTTTGTTTTTTAATACTTGTATAAAACTATAAAGTATAAAATATAAATTATAAAAACAAAAAAAAAATTAACCGACCCGGACCGGCCCAGCGGGTGGCCCGACCCGTGACCCGGGCGGGTGGCCCGGCCCGAACCGGACCCGTCCAACCCTCGGGCCGGTCCCGAGCCCATATGATACGAACCGGCGGCCCGACCGGGCCTAGGCCTGGCCCGAGTCCATGACTAGATGGGATAGTGGATACATTATTCAGGATATACAAATTGAAGGAACAAATTAAGAAACAATTTAGTCATAAAATCGCTTGTCGAAAGTGATGTAAAGGCTACTCTTAATTTTAGAGATGTTCGTATGATTCTGCTCTTCAAAAAGCTAAAAAAAAATAGATTAGTAGATTATCGTATATTTTGGATCAGTTTAAGATCTTTGGTTTTGAAGAATATACTCAGCACGTTAAAAAAGGGGGTTTTTACCTCAATATTACTAATAAATTGGTGGTTGACAAAAAATGACCTTTTATTCAAATTTCCAAAAATGTGACTGAAAGTTACAATAATGATGCTACAGTGACGATTTTACAGTGACAATGCTGCAGTGACTATTTTACAGTGACAACACCATAGTGACTCCATTCTATGGTGTCTACCACCCCCCCACAGGCTACAGTGACACCGCCACCGGTGACACCGCCACAGTGACACGTCTACTCCGGCCATAGTGACACGTCGATTCCGGCCATAGTGACACGATCCCTCCCGTACTCACAACCCTCGTCCCCAGCCTAACCATCAGCGCAGCCTCCAGTCACCTTCCCCCTCCTTAGCGTCCAACCCC